GATTCTTTTGTGAATTCTGATTGGCTAGAGTTGGTAGTTTTCTTTCATGTACTAACGAAGACGATGGTGAACAGAATGCTTTCATGGTCAACTTTTCAGACAACAACGATCTACGACTAGGTTTTAAAGAGAGTAAATTGCAACTTTACCCGATTAATGGAAAATGAATTCACTTCAATGTTGTTGTAAATCTCGATTACCTTTGGCTTATTCTGTTTTGCGATACAAAACGAAACGGAACGAAGCCAGGCGAAACTAATAGAATAATGCAGTACATTACCTAATACTTAAAGTTAACTTTCACAAGGATTTTGAAGTAAACGTTAGTCGTTAAGACGGATTTTAATTTACTCATTATATTTAACAAAATCATCCATTTTCACCCTGCGGTCACAATTCGAGATTTTTCATGTCACGAAAATAAATTTCAATATTTCACATTAGAAACTTTCCAAAGCTGTTATGCGACACGGGAATGAATTCATCGTTTCCGCTCAGTGAAAATAGTCCATTATGCAAAATAGTAATTGCTCTAAAGTTACTACTTTGTGAAATTGATTTTATATGGATAGTGAAATCGGAGGTGACCAGGATGTATGGGAATATACTATAATTTAAAGTTGAAACGTATTTTTGTGACCCGGAAAGAACGACATTCTTGTAAGGTGAAGATAGTCTATTCCATAAAATAGTGTCTCTCCTAAAATTACTATTTTGCAAAATATATCTTGATACGGTTATCGATCGCATAAGGAGTAAGCGAAATGTTAATTTCGCTTCTTCAAAAGTCAAGCCGAAGAAAACAAACAAGCAAAACAAGAAAAATACTAATTTTTGGATCGTTCGGTGCAGCCTGTTTGTTGCCCTGTTCTAGAGTGTAATACCGTGGCAACTCAAGACCTTCTTTGGTAAAATGTTATGGACTTTCCCTTCCCCCTCCACCCTCCCTCCACCCCCCTCCCCCGCGCTCCATCGCCATCAATGCCATATATGATAATTTGGAAACCAGACAACCGCGTCTTATTCATCAAATCATTATCTTACATTGAACGGACACCTTTGAAATTGTAAAAGGACAATGGCCTCAAAGAAACTTTTATGCTTTCTTTTCGTCCATATCTTTGCCTTGGGAAGTGCTAACTACTGTAGCGATTGTTCCCTCAGTGAGTCTTGTTGTTCAGATAAAGTCTGTAGACAGAGATGTTTCCACTGTTCGTACGACTACCAGTGTGGAACGAAAGAACAATGCTGTGATAACAAATGCATCAGTAGTTTCTCAAGTTGTTCCTGTTCGCACGACTCCCAATGTAACACTGGCGAGCAATGCTGTAATAGCAAATGCATCAGTAGTTCGTTTTCTTGTTCCTGCACGTATGACTACCATTGTGACATTGGAGAGGTTTGTTGTGGGGGAGTTTGTTCCTCACACTGTGGTTGGAGCGGTGGAGCTATTGCAGGCGCCATAATCGGCACAATTATCTTCTTCGCCATCATCATTTCCATCGTATCCTGCTGCTACTGTGCTTGTTGCCCGTACTACCGCTATCGTACACCCGATAATGTGGTCGTCACCGACCAACAACCACGACAAGAAATAGTCGCAACTCACACCCACGAGACGGCGCTACGAGTAGATCTTCCTCCGTTGATGTACTCCGAACAGCCTCCTCCAGCTGGTTACAACCCGCCTCCTCAAGGCTTTAATCAGCCTCCTCCGCCTTACTCGAGCTATCCACCGCCACCAAACCAATATCCTCCACCGCCGGGACAAGCTCAAGCGGCGCCGATACTGGCTGCAATAAACTCTGGACAACCGAACAAGTTCTACGAAAAGTAACCACCCAACAGAACTGTTTCGGTGAAATAAATATCTTTCGGTTTAATTTCCACTTACATAAACGTAAACGTAGTCAAGTTACTGAATGTTATGTTAGAATTTTTTTTTAAGGGACAGTTTCAACATTTTAAGGAGTACATAAGTATAGGATGACCTGTACGCCGTACGTATGCAAATTTAATCTTCCATTTTGCTTTCGTCACACAAGGAAAAACAAAAAGTAGACACAGTTTCCTTGTGGAAAGGAGTTTTGTCGGAGAAAGGTGAGTCGGGCCATTCGCATCACTTTCCCAGATTGAATATTGTATTCTGAGAAATGTAATTGCCATATTGAACCAATCTGACTGTATTTAACCCAGTCTATGCTTCCATCGACAGTTCATAATCTATTTCCCCCTATGACATTTTCAAAATGGCAAATGTCGATCGTGTCGTATAACAGTCAATCTCAGGCTATTGTTACAATATTTGAGCTGCTACCTTTGTATAGTATTCTACTTTTTGCTCATCGAATCTTCAGCAGATCTTTCGACCGACAGCATATGCTATGTCGATGTTGAGCATTATTTAGCTTTGCGTGTTGTAGCAATGTTTTTTGAATAATAAATTGTTGTTAATCAGCTGCCGTGTGTAAGGTTCAGTTTGATATGCAGGTGACCGGTTCGCAAGTGAGTTTTACTTCGGATATTCAGAAAATTTTCTTTGTGCTCGTAAACGTAACAGAAATTTTATCTGAACGATTTATTGAGAAGTTGGTGTTTGGGCGATTTACTTTCATCAAAACTAACGAGATCTGTCGAGACCAACCAGGTGTAAAACATATGCATAGTGCTACATCTTTGATTGCAGTGCTAAACCTAATAATGCATTTGTCGCGGAAGCTTTTCTACGATGAGACCTGATGAAGGAGACATTAATTAGCTAAAAGAAACCGATTAAATCCCGATGTTGTCCTGCCATATTTAGTCTAAAAGGACCTTGTATGTGGCGGACATCTTCATCATATTGGCAGATGCAGACACTATTTGAAATTAAAATCCAAGTTGGGCGATGTGGGACCCAAACCACGTGGTAGAAGCAGATTGTTTTGACTAAGTTAGGTTGGCAGTGAAGAAAGAAGTCTTGGCAATTGCAAGTTCGCTCGTATCAGAGAAGTAAAATGGAAGGAAAACTGTGATGTTTTCAAACCATAGCCATGAGGCTCACGTGATGTAATTACCATAATCTCAATGGAGATGGATGTGTTGACGTTGATTTAACAAATACAAAAGCCTTGAACATGCTCTGTTCTGTTTCAAAGTACGCAGGAAGCGGCTAGATCGCGAAAGAAGCGTAAGGAGAAACACGAGACGTAGTCGACTTGTCGTATTACGTGCCATTGAATCAGAAACGTCAAAGTCTTGTGATTTTACGAGACCTCGTGGTTGAAAAAAAAAATAAATGATTGAGTTGTAAAATACAGTACTTAACTTTGTGGTGGAAGCATTTTGCGCGATAATTCTTTTTGGTCCTTCGAGCCGGATAATACTAACCGGTGGATAAGTCGTGGTTTTTAGCGATTATATTGTGGTTTTTGCGAATTTCTGTGGAAGTAGAAGATGAATTGAGCGATTGGGGCGATGGACGAGATCCACTACCAGTTGGACTGGAAAACGTGCCGAAGGTAAGTCAACTGGAAATTTCAGTCCAAACTTTCTTGAAAAATAAAAGAAGATCACAATTCAGCTGAAAGGTTTAGGAGCTTGGGTCGCCTGTGCGCCAGTGAAATTTTATTTTGCGAAACGAAACGAAACAAAATCAGGCGGAACTAAAAGAATAATGAAGTATATTATCCAAAATTTAAAGATAACTTTTACAAGGATTTTGTGGTAAACGCTAGTCGTTAAGGAGGATTTTGAAGTAAACGTTAGTCTTTAAGGGGGATTTTAATTTATTTGATATATTTAACAAAATCGTCCATTTTCACCCTCCGGTGACCATGTGACATTTTCCATGTCACGAAAATGAATTGAAATATTGCACACTAGTAAAGTACCAAAGCTGTTGTGTGACACGAGAATGGCTTCATCGTTACCGCTCAGTGATTATAGTCATTCGTAAAATAGTAATTGACTTAAAATTACTACTCTGCGAAATTAATTTTATATGGATAGTGAAATAGGAGGTGACCAAGATCTATGGGAATATACAATAATTTAAAGTTGAAACGTATTTTTGTGACCCGAAAAGAAAGTCATTATTGTAGGGTGAGGATAGTCTATTTCTTAAAATAGTGTCTCTCCTAAAATTACAATTTTTCGAAATATATTTTAATACGGTTTAAGAAGTAAGAGGAGGCCAAAATGTTTGGTTCTGAACTAACTTGTAATGTTAAATGCATATCTGTGACATGAAAGAGGTCACATTGTCACCGCAGGAAAAAAATGGTCGATTTCGCAAAATAGTAACTCTTCCTGAATTACTATTTAGCGAAATGACTAAAAATCCTTCTTATCAATTGACGATTACTCCAAAACCTTTTTGGAGGTTATCTTTACCCTATTAGAAAATACATCTGCGAAATTCCTTTAGTTTCGTTATATCTCGCCTGGTTTCGTTTCGTTTCGTTTCATTGTTCGTTTCGTTTCGCAAAGTAGTATCAGCCATTACCTTTCACGCTAGAAAAAGATATCATCAAGTGACATAATATTGCATAGTTTATAGTATCGTCACAGGGTACGATTAGTAGTGTACGATTAGGGTTTTCGTAGACGTTCCTTCTCTTCCGTTTTACCTTGGCGGGGGGGGGGGGGGGGGGGGGGG